GTGAGGAACTTCATTCGTTTTACAACAAGGTTATAATTTTAATGTAGAGAAGTTGATACACTACAGCTGTTAGAAAGATATACATTTCGCAACTACAAAGAAAATCGCATAGACAATGCAAAACCTTCTCCTGACACCAAGAGCAGAACCCAATTATCCTTTTAACAATAACCAGCTTTTGCTTGAGAAAAATATTCCGAAGCTGAAAAATACGAAAAAATGATTTCAGGACTAAGCATTTGAGGCTGGGCGACCAAAATGTAACGTATCTGGTTATGCTATTAAAAGTAGTTGTTGCTGGATGATCGACGATTTATATCGGCAACAACCCGCTCTCAATGTCGGAACTTACTTTTCATAAAATTACCGTTTCAGTAATAAAAACAATATATTGAAACATAACGCGTGCTTAGAAGTCAAACGTGATCTAGGCCAACAACGAGACCTAACAACGCTGTCTTACTGTTAAGGTCCTAAAACCAGATTGGCTTTAAGAAGCATTTATGTGCTACACGTATAATATGCACTTTTGCATATTTGTAACAATGATCGTATGCCATAAATGGAAATAATTTTGAACCTTTTTTTTTTCATGTAAAGTATATGCATTCGAGAAAGGTTTACATCTGCACTATGTCTGGACATCATCAGCAACGAGATCTCGGCCGGTGCAGAAACGGAAGAATCATGTCTTCAAGGTTTCATCGGCTACTTTTTTGTGTGTCCTAGACGCTCAAGTAGATGAAAACAAATGGAAGAAGCCAAGGGGATTTCGTCGGAAGCGTAATCTTTCTTTCCTTGTCGGCGGCAAGCAAAAACAAAGCCTTATTATTTTTTACGGTCAACGGCGATGGGCTTTGGAACAAGAAATAAAATGGAAGAAATATACGTACGAGTCTAATTTTTCAGGACGCACCCACATACTTGAAATGGGACATGCTTCCAGTCTTCCACCTTAGTACTTATCTACTCAGGCAATAATTTAACTGCATGACTTGGGTAAAGTGGGTTCCAGTTCCAAAACACTGACACCATCATCTGGTAGCCTGACAAATAGGACAAATATGTATTGAGCAATTAGTTATAAAAAAAATTTGTGTAGCCTCTACGATTTCTGGTCTGATTATTTTCTACTGTGCGGAACTGACTACACTTTTCAAGCATTTCGACGTATTTACAACAAACTAAAGAAAACAGCCAAGGAAATTTCGTGTAAGATTTTTACTTTATTGTATATGCAGTAGTACTGATACATATGTACCTGGGTCCAGCTTCTCTTACAATCATAATAGGTTCGAAATGATCTGGAATGTAGTAGCCCATAATACCTAATGCGTATTTAAATAAGCAATGCATTGTACTAGGTGCGGGATGCAAGATACGTCAACAAGAAACTTCTTTTAGAAGTGAAAAGATACATTACCGATATGTACAGCGATGTGGGTGCATGTGGAAAATTCATGGCTACGAGGCTGAGCGTGTGCCCCGTATATCCTTCAGCCGTGTCCTAAATGTTTTAACAGCCAGAAGCCGCAGGCACTTCCGACACTTAAGAATCGGCCAAAGGAAACCCTGAGTCCACTATGCCAGCAGAATGATCTCTCTTTATGTCGACACTCTTCTATGCATGAGTTTACCTTTCAGCACATTCGATAAGTTAACAAAATAGTCGGGAACAGGACAGACGTTAACTGACGTTTCTTCCTCCCAAGAGGGCTATAGACAGTGAGGGAATTCCAGGCGCCGTCTTGGGGTTACCAAAGCAAGATTATTAGAGACACGATGGACTAGAATACGATAGAACATGCGCACGTCTACAACGAAATGGAAAATTGCGGTTGCGTCCAATGAGGCGGATAGACCGGCATAATAATAACGTATCGAAATTCGAGCAGTTCGGAGAAAATTATGATTTGTATACTGTGGACGAACTTATCAAATACTATTTTTTTCATGCAACTTTATAATAAAGACCTGCTTCTGCTTTTCTTGTTTGATAGGCCAATGTAAGTTGCCCGTAATAAAGCTTTTCGTGTTTCTGTCGTAATGCAAGTTGCTTTAGTTCAGTTCTTGTTGGTATATTTAAGTAACTTAAGGATAGTTTGCTAATTCAGCTGGACAAATTCATAGACACTACTTTCTGACCTAGTTTTGTGTGGTTTTAATTCTGTGCATGCGAAAAAGACACGTCGATCGCATTTCGAACTTTCTTACCTGGAAGTAAATTTCAAATTTAGTTATCTTAGAGCTTTCTCAAACACAATTTCAAGTGTTTTAGCTAAATGTGTTTTAGTAATATATAATATATATAAAACATATAATATAAATAATAGAAGCGCCATAGCTGTGCCAGTTATTTTGATTTGGCATCTTTTTTAAATTAATCCTTATTGTCCTCCTGAGTCCTGAGATTTTCCAATTCTATTGCGTCGAAGTGCACCCAAGACATTCAGAACACAAATCGAAGTATACCAAAACCTGATACACCTGCATATACCATTATAAAAAAAATACCTTTTTCTAATTCTTTCTTTCTTTCTTTATTACCGAACGCAAAAGATCAAACGGTGTGTTTCTCCATAAAAATAGCCAGTACGAAATTAATATTGATTTCATCACAAGAGACAACAGCTCGCCTTCTGTTGTCTTTTGCAAAAAACACCTTTTTCATTGCCTTTTACGGGTCTTGTGGATTTGGTGACCGGCCAGTAAGCCAGCTGGACTGTTAGCGGAAGAGTGGAGGCGGCGGGGGGGGTGAGGAGAGACTTGCAAAGTAATTGTCTGCCGTCTTCCGGCGTAACTAACTCACGGGTTTATAGTTCGACATGGATCGTTAAGTTTATGTGTTCTAGTCGTGGCTTGTCGGCCTTCGACCAAACGCGATTAAAGATGGGATAGAACAAAGGCCACTAATCGGCACCTTCCCACCTTGACCACCAGGCGGACGTCAGAAAGCTGTTATAATGTAAGTTCGAATTGGAGGGGATTAACCTCAAAGATTGAGTTCACCGGTAGACGAACGTTTAAAGAAAAATCTTAACCATATGGAACCAATTTGAATTTTAATGATATTGATAAAAAATTTTTTCGCACTCACGCATAATTTTACGGGAAATTCAATTTTTAAGCACAGATCAATCAGAAGTCATGCGATTAACTTGACTTGTAAGCTCGGCGTTGCCATAAAGTGCGACTCTAAACAAATTATCGTTTCCAACGAAAAGCGAAGTTTCTCTATGCTGGGTTTCAAACATAGACCATCTTACATGTTTTCGCGTTTTCTAGGCAAATTTGTTAACATCGCAATATGATGGAGGCGTTTGGATGTCATATTGTAAGCGTTCGTAGAGCTGCAAACTGTTATTAAGCATCCATGTGAAACACAAAATATTTGAATACATTAAAAACAGATAGAACGTATAATTTCCGTAAAGTCTTACATGCACCTGTTTTTTTTTTTTTTTTTACACGAAACTGTATTTTTAATTAGATAGCGAATGTACTATTTACATCAACAACGCATCGAACAATTCAGGACAGTTGTATCTGGATAGTATGTTGTTTTAAGTTATAAATAGTTACAGACAGAGACTTTCAACGTATTTGTGAAAATAATTAATTCCGAAAAAATCCAGTTGGATGTTACAAGCGAATCCGCCAGAGTTTGTAATTAAATATAGTTTGAAGTAGTTGGGACTGAACAATGATTTTTAATTGTTACTCTTTCCCAATTTTTCGAACAGCCTTACATTTGCTATGTGTGACCTTTTGGTATGAAGACTCCCGTAATGATACCAACCTAAATCAGCAAAGTGAACAGAATGAAGCCAACCTTCAATATCATCATTTTGCTGAATCTAGTAAGTGGTTGCAACATGACAAGCAGGTCTTGAGGTCATTTGACGACAAGTAGCCAGATCGCAACGTCATTTTCTCGCCTTGTTCTTCTTCGGCTACCGATAGAGATTAAACGATCTCATCTACGGCGACCTTATGCTTCAGGCAGGTTTTGGCGAAAAACTTCTGGAGACCGCCAGTGAATACACCACACGCGTTTCTAACTGACCTAGAGCTAATTCACAAAGAGTTTTTATTTTTTGGGTTTGTTGTATTTGGATTATAGTTCTGTAACATGTGAGAATACATACCCGTTTTGGCCGACAAAGCTCTTGGGCCCTAAGCTTTGTTTTCATGAAAGGCCTCTTCGATTGTAGCGATACGTTCTTGTACGTAGGGTTCCAAGATCCGGCTACCCCTTGCTGGTCTTCAACACTCAAATTTCTATTCTTGAAACGGTTGCTTTTGATATAAACCTTTTTGCCTAATATTTTCTCCAAACTTCGATTGATTTTCGCGGCGCTGTGGTTTTCACCGAGCGAAGACGTTGCCACTAAGCATTGATTTGCGAGAGTAACACATATTCCTTTGTCTAAAGACACTTATAACTAATACTTACTCTCAAACTTCTAGAAGGCTTCGTCTATTGACAGCGCATAGTTCAAGGCTACTCAATTTTGGAGTTCGCCAGATGTGCTTGTAAAAGCCCAGTAACTACTTCCGCATTGCTCTACCAGCAGTACATGTTATATTACTATATACTTTTTGCCAGAGTAAAAACTGTATTATATTAGAACACTTTCCGTTACCTGCGAGAACCAAAGCGTTATGCTTGGGGTTGCTAAATATTTGACATTTTCCGGGATTGAAATTTCAACTTCTAGTTTCTTCGAAATTCAGATGTTTCTACAGTGTTAACAGGAAGACATAGCATAGGTCCACGAGCTTTTGACCCAATGTAAGAACCGCACCCATATTTCAGGTCGAAATAGACGACTGCCGGTACGAGATAAGGTAACTCCGGCCGATTGCTAAGCCGATCTAGTAGCATAATAAGCACAAAAATGTAGTTTTGGGTAGAGGGTTATTGCCTTGGTATGGGTAATGATTGACACATTTTTCATTCAGGGCGGTATACGATTCCTTGGAATAAGACTATTTAGTAAGTATTGTACAATTAAGCGCTAAGTATGGGCGTTATTAGTGGAGCTTGTCAATTTAACATTTGGAGTGAAGTAAAAGTGCCATTTCTAGTCGAAGCCATAGTTTCTTTCCGAAATTTGCTCTGTTAGATAGTCAAACTTTGAGCAATATCGTAGGTTATCTTTCAAGCATAAACCTTTTAGTCACTTTGGCACCTCGTCGAACCCACTGTTGCCTATCGGGGACGCGTAGATCTCCTGATGAAAGCAGTCACAATGGCTGTATAGGCAAGATTCGAAGTTCGACATCGTGTATTAGGTTTGCAGGCATAAACGTGAAGGTTATCATAATCTTGGATCGAGCCCGCGTTCTAAACGATCGTAAAGATACAAGTAATGCGGTATGGCATGGTTAATGAAGTATAACCAGCATTAACTAAATAAGACATTCTCCTTAAAATCATGAACAGACGTAAAAATTAGGAATATATCGTTAAGATGTGCGATATACGAAGGCATGTAACAGTGGCCTTTTGCCTTTCGGTTTATTCGATTTGTATTTATGATAACATTGTATTTTCTATATCTAATTACCCGTGTATCAATGCTTTGATTTTTAGGGAGCTTGTCTACTGGTGGACTCGTAATTAAAATCGAAGTCAGGGATATTATTTGTTTGTGCTTAGATGAAAAATGTAAAATAAATAAGAGCTGGATTGCTTCTGTATGTAAAAATATGGAACCTGATCATTACTCGTACTATGTATTATAATGCCCGATCGATACTTGTTCATTTTGTGATTAAGTGGTGTACTTACTACGGTAATTATCTATTTATAGCATATTTATTTACTTTTACTTTTCCTCATCGAAAAATATTCCAAATATACTGATGGATACATCATCATAAGTGCTTCACTGATAACGGCACTAAGTTTCGTTGCCAGACGGTCGCTTAGCCTGTCGACAGCTGCTTCAATTTTACGCCGCTGTAAATACGGTAAATGTAGTTTGTTATATATCAAGGTCTCATAATATAACTGGGATAGAATGATCTCAAATTCGTAGAGCTAAAACTCATCTAAGTGTGAGTTAATATTCAAATCTTCCTTCACACGAAGCAGAATTGCTCCAGGTACTATGTTTACGAGGAAATAATGCTGGTTCTAGTAATTATATAAGAGCAGGATCAATAACAAATTTTACCAGAGTCATCCAGGTCATTACCAGGAAGAAAAACATACATGAAAAATGGATACCCAGGCGGCTTTAGTCGTTCCATTTGGGATTTCAAAGTCTCCAGTAATATGTTCCAGGCGATGAGTGTACGACACTAGTTTACATGACTTCACCGTTGAATCAGCCCCATTGCTCTGAAACAGTTTATGACTATAATCAGGTAACTCGGTAAATATAAATATGAAACAAAGAATACTACCAAAA